AAGTATTTCTATGTGTTGGTTATCCTCTACTCCCCCTTCATTGCCAACTTTGTATAAACTTATTGCCGATGTAAGACAGATGGAGTGTTTGACTGCTTCACATAGTGGTTCGTTTGCTGTATTTGAGATGATCTGGCTCCCATGGGATTTCTCTTCCTCTATGCTGGCCCGAAATGTAAGACCCTGATTATTAACGCACTGTTACTATATGACTCCATTGGTCTTGACTAAATGTAATCCTTGCCATCGATGTACTTCTCTGTTTTGCTTGTCTTTTTTGTTTTTCTCTCCTTTGTTTTCTGTAACATATGATTTCTTTGAAAACCAATAAAAATTGCTATATAAAAAAAAAAGCCACAGATGTGGGACATTAACCTCTAATTGCCATTTTAACCCGCGTGTGTCACCTTGTGTGTCTGTTTCAAGGCCAAACATTCCAGGGTATGTAAACTATTGATCATGGCCATTTGGGGGATTTCTGTTATCATTATGATTTAAAAAGGAGCCAAACAACTATTTGATAATTAATGGCTTCATATGATCATCGTCCTTCAATAAAAGAGCATTTTTTAGCATGATCAGTCATATTTTCAATATCAATGCCAAACGTTCACAATTTCTGCCAGGGTATGCAAACTTTTGAGCACAACTGTATATACATCTTTCTTTCACATGTTAGTCTGCATAGGTGTTGGGGCAAGGGAGCAGTTGGTGCTCCCTCCTTTCCCCTACAACTGCAACCTAGGGGAGCCAGGTCGCATGACCAGAATATAGCAGGCTGGTAATAGGTAGGTAGATACCTCTCTCTTACACAGGTTAGTCAGCACAGGTATTAGAAAAGGGGAGGGGCCAGTTTTAAGGCTAATTTCAGCGAAACTGGGATTCCACTTTGATTTCCGCAGTTATTATTATTATTATACAGTATTTATAAAGCGCCAATAGTTCGCTCAGCGCTGTACATTACAAAGGGGGACAGAACATGTGACAGAACAATACCAATACAATCTGATACACGAGGGGTTCGAGGGCCCTGCTCTTTCGAGCTTACAATCTAGGAGGGAGGGGGTGGTGGCACAGGAGGAGATAGCTATGGGGGATGGAGTGGTAGGAAGAGTGGAGGAGGTCGGCAAGTTAGCAGGGGGTGGGGTAGGCTTCCCTGAAGAGATGGGTTTTCAGGGTGCGCCTAAAGGAGAGGAGAGTAGGTGATAATCTGATGGGTTGGGTCAGGGTGTTCCAGAGGATGGGTGACACCCTGGAGAAGTCCTGGAGGCGGGCATGGGAGGAGGAGACCAGGGAACTAGAGAGAAGGAGGTCTTGTGAGGAGCGGAGTGTGCGTGCTGGGCTGGGCGGTACTTGGATATTAGGTCAGTGATGTAGTTCGGGGCAGTATGGTGGACAGCTTTGTACGTCAGCGTTAAGATTTTGAATTTGATCCGTTGCGCAATCGGAAGCCAGTGGAGGGATTGGCAGAGGGGGGTGGCGGAGACAGAGCGGTTGGAAAGGTGAATGAGTCTGGCAGCCGTATTCAGGATCGACTGAAGCGGGGATAGCCAGCGGCGAGGCAGGCCAGTGAGGAGGGAGTTGCAGTAGTCGAGTCGTGATATGATGAGAGAGTAGATGAGCTGTTTAGTGGTTTCTGGGGTTAGGAACGTGCGGATTTTGGCGATGTTGCGGAGGTGGAGTCTGCACGAGTTTGTTAAAGATTGGGGCTGGAAGGATAGGTTGGAGTCCAGAATGACACCCAGTACTCTGGCCTGCAGGGCGGGTTTGATGGTAGCGTTGTTGGATGTGACGGAGAAATCAATGGGGGGTGGTGTCCGGGCTGGGGGGAAGACAAGAAACTCGGTTTTGGAGAGGTTCAATTTAAGGAAGTGGAGCGACATCCAGTCTGATATGTCGCTCAGTAGGTGTGTGATTTGGGCTGAGACCAAGGGGGTGAGGTGGGGGGTTGAGAGATAGATTTGTGTGTCGTCGGCATAGAGGTGGTAGTTGAAGCCGTGAGAGTGTATGAGTTGGCCAAGGGAGGAGGTATAGATGGAGAAGAGAAGGGGCCCAAGGACAGAGCCTTGAGGGACCCCAACAGAGAGGGGGAGTGAAAGGGAGGTGGTAGCATTATAGGTAACGCTGAAGGAGCGTTGTGACAGGTAGGATGAGAGCCAGGAGAGAGCAGAATCTCTGAGGCCGAGGAAGTGTAGTTTTTTGAGGAGGAGGGGGTGGTCGACTGTGTCGAAGGCCGCAGAGAGGTCAAGGAGTAGGAGCACTGAATAGTGGCCATTAGCTTTGGCGGTTAGCAGGTCGTTGGAGAGTTTGAGTAAGGCAGTTTCGGTGGAGTGTAGGGGACGGAAGCCGGACTGTAGGGGATCGAGGAGGTTGTTGTCGTTGAGGTGAGAGCATAGGCGGGTGTAGACTAGGCGCTCGAGGAGTTTAGATGTAAATGGGAGCAGGGAGATGGGTCTGAGGTTGTTCGGGTCATTGGGGTCCAGGGAGGGCTTTTTAAGTATGGGGGTGATGTGTGCATGTTTCAGAGGGGAGGGGAAAGTGCCTGAGGAGAGGGAGAGATTGAAGATGTGGGTGAGGGAGCGTAGGATGGAGGAGGAGGAAGGTCGTAGGAGGTGTGAGGGGATAGGGTCGAGGGGGCAGGTGGTGAGGTGGGCATCAGAGAGGATCTTGGAGACTTCCTCGATCGTAGTAAGGTCAAAGGTGCGGAGTGTGGGGGGAGCTTCAGTATGAGGAGGTCAGAGCAGTGGTGGGGCCGTGGGAGAGGGGTGATGAGGGGGTAGCTGAGTGAGGGTGAAGGGGGTTGGAGAGAGTTTGAGCAGCGACGAAGAGTCCCTGCGGGTTATGTCGAGGGGGAGGGGGGATAAGGGGGTAGCTGTGTGAGAGGGGACGGGTTGAGAGGGTGTGTGAGTTGCGGCAATGTCCTTGCGAATTGTGTCAATCTTGTTTTTGAAGTGATTGGCAATCTCAAGGGCAGTGTTAGGAATGGACTGGCCAGCAATGGTGGGACTCACCTGCCTTTTGATCTGCAGTACCAGGGCTGGCCAGCGGGTGTTCCCTGCAATCAGAGACTCAACTTTGCAGCCAGCTAACACCTGTAACTGCTGATGCTGGGGTATTTAAGGGATGGCCAGACCCACAGACTCTGCCTTGGTGTTGTGTTTCTCTTGGCCCTGTATCCTGTTCCTGCTCTCTGTTCCTGTCTGATTCTCTGCTACCTGTCCTGATCCCTGGCTTGTGACCCTGACCATCTCTCTGCTTGACCCTCTGTACTACGCTGCTTGCTACCTGCTGAACCTGGCCTGTGACCCCGACCATTCTCTGCTTGCTCCCCCTGTACCTACCTGCCCTATTGATATTGACCCGGCCTGCCTGACGACGCTTGCTTGTATATACTGTTATCTGTGGGTGGTTGGTTTGGTTTGGTTGCACTGTGTTATGTTTTAGTATTGCACTGCGTTTATGTTTGTATTGTTAGTGTTAATAAATTGTATTGTTTATCACATATCTGAAGTCTGCGTTTCCCTGCATCAGTCACACACCTCTGGTCATACCTGGGAGCCCTGACATTACACCAAGGCCAATCCTGACCAGAAGTGGCTGCACAGGGAAGCCATCTTGGCTTGTTGATGGGAAGGATGGATCTTGATGAGGTTGAGTATTTATATCTGCTAGTGTTTGATGACAGGGAGTATGCTTATCAAACTCTGAAGGAGTATACCCGGGATGAATTGCTAGAATGTATACGGCTTGCTCATGTTCTAGTAGATCAGGGCACAGTGTTCTCTCCTGAGGTGCAGCCATTGATTGAGGTTTGTGCAGAGTTGGTTTCATCTGGTTCCCCCGAATGCAGGGATGAATTTTTTGCCACCATTTAGTGCAGACCAGGTAGAGTCCCTGGTGTGGTTATTAGAGGATGATGTGGGTTACTTTCTGGAGCGTTATTCCACATGTTCACCACAGACACTGCGAGATTGTATAAACGCAGTGCAGTCATTGACCAGACAGGCTTTGTGTAAGCTCAGCTTTGTTCAACCCCTACTGCAGACATGGACAGATTTGTTTGCACCCAGCCTCAGTCAGCTTACAAAGACCCAGTCCTGCTTCTAACTCTACTCCTGTATTCCCACCAGCTCCTCCAGTTACAGCCCAGTATACTTGGCTATCTACCGCATGTCAGTACCCTGTTCCCACTCGCTGCACCTATCCTGCCTTTAATCCTGTAAAAAAGCCCTCTGTAGCAACTGCTCCCTCTCCTGTTCCATCCTCCAGTTCTTCTCTGTCTCCAGCTGCTCCATTCGTTTGCAGACCTGCGTTTACTTGCAGTGCTCCAGTAGTTAAAACCAGAAAAAAAGCGAAAATTCTTTCCAACCAATACCATCCTGCCAGTATCCAAACCGGTGAGCCTGCCTTCCGTGGTTCAGACTGAAGCCTCTACTTGGCCTGAAGCCTCTACGCGGCCTGAAGCCTCTCCTCGGCCTGAAGCCTCTACGCGGCCTGAAGCCTCTCCTCGGCCTGAAGCCTCTACGCGGCCTGAAGCCTCTCCTCGGCCTGAAGCCTCTCCTCGGCCTGAAGCCCCTACTCGGCCTGATGCCCGTACTCTGCCTGATGCCTCTACTCGGCCTGAAGCCTCTACGCGGCCTGAAGCCTCTCCTCAGCCTGAAGCCTCTACGCGGCCTGAAGCCTCTACTCGGCCTGATGCCTGTACTCGGCCTGATGCCTGTACTCGGCCTGATGCCTCTCTTCAGCCTGAAGCCTCTACTCGGCCTGATGCCTCTACTCGGCCTGATGCCTCTACTCGGCCTGATGCCTCTACTCGGCCTGAAGCCTCTACTCGGCCTGAAGCCTCTACTCGGCCTAATGCCTCTACCCAGCATGATGAACTGATCCAGCCTGATGATCCTATTAGGCCAGTTGACTCGATGCCCGCTGTTGATCCAGATGATCCGGTACCTGATCCGGTGCCCGCTGTCGTGCCAATTGACTCAGAGCCCGCTGTCGTACCTGGTGACTCGGTGCCCACTGCCCTTGCCAGATGACGCGGTGCCCGCTGGCAAGCCAAATGACCTGATGCCTGGTGACCTAGTGTCCGCTGTCATACCTGATGACCCGATGCCCGCTGTCGAGCCAGACAATCCGGTACCTGATGACCCGGTGCCCACTGTCGTGCCTGTTGACTCGGAGACCACTGCCTTGCCAGATGACGCGGTGCCCGCTGTCGAGCCAAATGACCTGATGCCTGGTGACCCGATGCCCGCTGTCCAGCCAGACGATTCAATGTCTGCCCCGGTGCCCGCGGTCATGCCAGTTGACTCGGAGCCCACTGCCTTGCCAGATGACGTGGTGCTCGCTGTCGAGCCAAATGACTTGATGCCTGGTGACCCGATGCCCGCTGTCCAGTCAGTCACGACGATCCAATGTCTGACCCAGTGCCCGCGGTCATACCAGTTGACTCGGAGCCCACTGCCTTGCCAGATGACGCGGTGCCCGCGGTCGAGCCAAATGACCTGATGCCTGGTGACCCGATGCCCGCTGTCCAGCCAGACGATTCAATGTCTGCCCCGGTGCCCGCGGTCATGCCAGTTGACTCGGAGCCCACGGCCTTGCCAGATGACGCGGTGCCCGCGGTCGAGCCAAATGACCTGATGCCTGGTGACCCGATGCCCGCTGTCCGGTCAGACGATCCAATGTCTGACCCAGTGCCCGCGGTCATCATACCAGTTGACTCGGAGCCCACTGCCTTGCCAGATGACGCGGTGCCCGCTGTCGAGCCAAATGACCTGATGCCTGGTGACCCGATGCCCGCTGTCCAGCCAGACCATCCAATGTCTGACCCAGTGCCTGCGGTCATACCAGTTGACTCGGAGCCCACTGTCGTGCCTGGTGTCTCGGTGCCCGCCGCTCCGCCTGGGGCCCCGAGACCTGTCGCTCCTCCTGGGGGTCCGGCGCCCGCCGCTCCGCCTGAGGGCCCGAGACCTGTCGCTCCATCTGGGGGTCCGGCGCCCGCCGCTCCGCCTGAGGGCCCGAGACCTGTCGCTCCATCTGGGGGTCCGGCGCCCGCCGCTCCGCCTGAGGGCCCGAGACCTGTCGCTCCTCCTGGGGGTCCGGCGCCCGCCGCTCCGCCTGAGGGCCCGAGACCTGTCGCTCCGCCTGGGGGTCCGGCGCCCGCCGCTCCGCCTGAGGGCCCGAGACCTGTCGCTCCACCTGGGGGTCCGGCGCCCGCCCGCTCCGCCTGAGGGCCCGAGACCTGTCGCTCCTCCTGGGGGTCCGGCGCCCGCCGCTCCGCCTGAGGGCCCGAGACCTGTCGCTCCGCCTGGGGGTCCGGCGCCCGCCGCTCCGCCTGAGGGCCCGAGACCTGTCGCTCCGCCTGGGGGTCCGGCGCCCGCCGCTCCGCCTGAGGGCCCGAGACCTGTCGCTCCTTCTGGAGGTCCGGCGCCCGTCGCTCCGCCTGAGGGCCCGAGACCTGTCGCTCCGCCTGGGGGTCCGGCGCCCGCCGCTCCGCCTGGGGGCACGATGCCTGTCGCCCCGCCTGGGGGCACGATGCCTGTCGCCCCGCCTGGGGGCCCGATGCCTGTCGCCCCTCCTGGGGGCCCGATGCCTGTCGCCCCGCCTGGGGGGCCCGATGCCTGTCGCCCCGCCTGGGGGCCCGATGCCTGTCGCCCCGCCTGGGGGCCCGGTGCCTGTCGCCCCGCCTGGGGACCGGTGCCTGCCGCCCGCCTGGGGGACCGGTGCCTGCCGCTCCGCCCGGGGCCCGGTGCCTGCCGCTCCGCCCGGGGGCCCGGTGCCTGCTGCTCCGCCCGGGGGCCCGGTGCCTGCTGCTCCGCCCGGGGGCCCGGTGCCTGTAGCCCCGGGGGCCCAGTGCCTGTAGCCCCGCCCGGGGGCCTGCTGCTGCTCCGCCGGGGGCCCGGTGCCTGTAGCCCCGCCCGGGGGCCCGGTGCCTGTAGCCCCGCCCGGGGGCCCGGTGCCTGCTGATCCGCCCGGGGGCCTGGTGCCTGCTGCTCCGCCTGGTGGCCCGCTGCCTGCTGCTTCGCCTGGTAATCCGATGTGCCTCTGCCCGGAGTCCTGCCCGATGTGCCTCTGCCCGGAATCCTGCCCGATGTGCCTCTGCCCGGAGTCCTGCCCGATGTGCCTCTGCCGGGAGTCCTGCCCGATGTGCCTCTGCCCGGAGTCCTGCCCGATGTGCCTCTGCCCGGAGTCCTGCCCGATGTGCCTCTGCCCGCAGTCCTGCCCGATGTGCCTCTGCCCGCAGTCCTGCCCGATGTGCCTCTGCCCGGAGTCCTGCCCGATGTGCCTCTGCCCGGAGTCCTGCCCGATGTGCCTCTGCCCGGAGTCCTGCCCGGTGTGCCTCTGCCCGGAGTCCAGCCCGGTGTGCCGCTGCCCGGAGTCCTGCCCGGTGTGCCAGTCTTTGATATCCCGCCAGTTGCCAGACCCGGGCGGTGGAACATTTTGCCCAGCTAGGACTGTTTGGAGCGTCCTGAGGCCGCTCCTTGAGGGGGGGGTACTGTTAGGAATGGACTGGCCAGCAATGGTGGGACTCACCTGCCTTTTGATCTGCAGTACCAGGGCTGGCCAGCGGGTGTTCCCTGCAATCAGAGACTCAACTTTGCAGCCAGCTAACACCTGTAACTGCTGATGCTGGGGTATTTAAGGGATGGCCAGACCCACAGACTCTGCCTTGGTGTTGTGTTTCTCTTGGCCCTGTATCCTGTTCCTGCTCTCTGTTCCTGTCTGATTCTCTGCTACCTGTCCTGATCCCTGGCTTGTGACCCTGACCATCTCTCTGCTTGACCCTCTGTACTACGCTGCTTGCTACCTGCTGAACCTGGCCTGTGACCCCGACCATTCTCTGCTTGCTCCCCCTGTACCTACCTGCCCTATTGATATTGACCCGGCCTGCCTGACGACGCTTGCTTGTATATACTGTTATCTGTGGGTGGTGGTTGGTTTGGTTTGGTTGCACTGTGTTATGTTTTAGTATTGCACTGCGTTTATGTTTGTATTGTTAGTGTTAATAAATTGTATTGTTTATCACATATCTGAAGTCTGCGTTTCCCTGCATCAGTCACACACCTCTGGTCATACCTGGGAGCCCTGACAGGCAGTGAGTGATGTGCTGGGTGGAGGTGGGGGTGGAGAGAGTAGAGAGTTGAAGGCAGAGAAGAGTCGGCAAGGATTGGAGGAGAGGGCCTTGATGAAGGTCAAGAAGTAGGCCTGTTTGGCAGCATGGAGGGAGGAGGTGTAGGTGTGGAAGGCAGATTTGTAGCGGGTGAAGGCTTGTTGGGATATGGTTTTGCGCCATAGTTGCTCCAGGGCACGACTTTGTCGTTTGAGGGTTTTGGTGTGATCAGTCTGCCAGGGCTGGAGCGGTCGGGGTCTGATGTTGCGTGTGGTTAAAGGCGCTAGTGAGTCAAGGGCTGTTGAGAGCGCATTGTTGTAGGCGGTCAAAGCCAAGTCGGGGCAGGACAGGGGGAGGATGCGGTCGTGGAGTTGATCAGCTGCAGAGTGGAGGGAGGCAGGGTTAAGGTTGCGGAGGTTACGGCTGGTAGTAGTGTGACAGTTCAGCTTTAACCGCTTCCCGACTGCCCTATAGCAGAACTACTGCTCTAGAGGGTGGCAGGTATATATACGTGATTTTGTATTTCTGGGAAGGGGGCTCACGCAGCTGTCGATCACCGGGTCCTGACCACAGATTCCCTGCCGACACCCGGTGATCACTAAGGAACACTGACAGGGGAAAGGTTCGTATGTAAACAATACAGGTCTCTCCCGTCAGCTCCAGCATGTTATTTAAGTGTTCTTGCAAGAACACTTATTGTTATCTCACATATATGTTCTTATTCTTATTATAGCCAAAGTTACCACCCTAACTCCTCCCACAGTTTTTACAGTACATAGACAAGTAATATACCAAAACGTGTGGATTGTTTCCGATTGGTGTGCTATTCCTTTGTGGAGCGTTTCACCAAATGGTTCAAAAAATATCGCAGTTTTTGTGGTGAAATTTTCCCATAGGAATGAATGGAGGAATGACCTAAACTACAGTGGGAGCTGACAAAAGCTACAGTGTGAGATGAGAAATCAGAACATTATTTCTAAACTGGCATCACTCTCTCATTTTCATGTCCACCTACACAAATCTTATATAAAAACGTTCAGCTATCCCTGCTGCCACTAAAAATGTTCACGGCTAAGCAATAGTCCTGATAGTTTTCACAATATGACCCTTTGTTTGCAACTCACGCAGCCCATTGACATTCATTGAAACTCCACTCCCAGCCACCTGAAATTTTAAGGGCCATTTCTAAACTACGACTGTGCCTTCATTTTTAATATTTCAGAGACATACTATGCATCAAAATGTATGTCTGGGTCTTGTGATTCTCACAATATAAAGCTCTTCAGTGTAGGATTTATAATTTTTAAACTACAACCGTTTGAAGATGGCAACCGCCAGTGAAGTGAGCAAGTTGGAGCAGTTTGTTTTTAACCGCTCTTCTCTGCCCTTGCTGTAGAATGAGTTGCCATAGGAACCCAGGTGTGTGAGCAGGCATCAGAGTGACAAAAGCTAGAGTGTGAGCTGAAAAATAAAAGTTGAAATGCATTTCTCACTCTATCAAGCTTGCCATGTGCACTTTTTAAATTTGATCAATCAATTGCTTAGTGTAATGTTTACTATCTTTACTCACTCCAAACACTCCAATCATTTACTCTGCCCACTCCATAAAGTTACTGTGCCCAGTCCAACCTTTTCACAGTTACTCCAGCCACTCCAACCACACAATAGTTACTCAAGCCACTCCACCCAGTTACTCCGCCCACTCCAGTTGTAGACTACTGGTGGAGGCAAGAACACTTCACACAATTTCCCCAGAAATTGTAACTTTTCTAGTTTGTATTGCTCTACATAGCAGAGCAATACAAAGCAGCATGCTTACACAGTAAGGCTCCATGTACATGGGACATTAGGAAAACTCTTCTGAACGATGGAAACTGACTGCTGGAAAACGTAGGTAGGTTAAAAAATGTCTGTTTAGCCGTGTTTGCATACCGTGTTTATGCACGTTTGCATTTAGAAGCGTTAAGATAACCTCAGGAGACCTTCCAAAATGCCCAGAATGCATTGAAAAACACTTTGCATGCATTTTTGATGATGAAAAAAGGCTCTGGACAGCATCTGGATATGAAACTGTTAAAACCGCTTCTAAACGCAAACACTTATAACTGTGGTTAGCCGCGTTTACAAGTATTTGAAACGCTGATTAAATCTACTCCTTAATGCAAGTTTGGTGCGTTAAAAAAAATGACTGTAAACTCAACTGCCTGTAAACGACTATGTGTACATGGACACAGAAAAACATTAGGGAGAGTTCAGGGGCTGCTGAAAAAAAAAAAAAAAATGCAGAAAAGCTCCTAAACGTGAGTTTATCAGCTGCAGAGTACATGGAGCCTAAAACACAGCACATAATGTGAAACGCACACAGTTAACCCTTTGATCTCCCCAGATGTTAACCCCTTCCTGCCCAGTGTCATTAGTACAGTGTCAGTACTTTTTATTAGCACTGATCACTGTATTAATATCACCGGGGATCAGTGACAGTTAGTCAGTTCCCCCCAGAGTCAAAATGGCTCCCACAGTCCTTGTAGACTCTATAACTTTCACATGAACCAATTAATTTACACATATTGAATTTTTTTTTAGCAAAGACATGTAGCAGAATACATTTTGGCCTAAATTAATGACAAAATTAGATTTTTTTTTACTGGACATGTTTTATAACAAAAAGTCAAAAAAATTGTTTTTTTTTTTTTCTTAAAATTGTTGCTTTTTTTGTTTATAGTGCAAAAAATAAAATACACAGCTGTGATCAAATACCACCGAAAGAAAGCTCTATTTGCGGGGGGAAAAATGGCCATAAATTTCATTTTGGTGCAGCACTGCCAGACAGCACAATTGTCAGTTAAAGTAAAGCAGCATCGTAACATGGCCTGGTCAGGAAGGGGGTTAAATCCTCAAGAGGGCAAGTGGTTAAGGATAGTTAGGGTCCCGTGTGGGCGGACTAGTCCCTATCGCACTGAGCCGAGCACTAGGACAGTGGCGAGGTCCTCTCACAGCACAGGGATGAACCTTGTCATATAGTTCCTATCACAATACTAGAACTGACCACTCACACGGATGACGTCCTGTAGCTGGCCGTCTTCTTCACAGAACCCTGTACCTGCCCTCTGCCGGGACACGCCCCCTACAGACTGAACCCGGCTCTCTAGCTTCTCTCTCAGAACCTCCATCCAGCCAAGCATGAGCGGAAGGCCCGCCCCCGTTGCGTCACCAGGACGTCCCCGCAAGCCCAATGGCTGGCTCTTGCGTCAATCAGCCGCGTCGCTGCT